AACTTGGCAGACATCACTCTAGGCTTAATTCAGTACGTTATGCCAAATTTCGTGCAAATCAAAAGATATATAGGGACTTTGGGGCACCATTTACATGAAATCGTACGAAACTATATATGGGAGCTATATCTAAATCTGGACCGATTTTCTCGAAACTTGGTAGACATCATTCCAGGCTCAATTCAGTACGTTATGCCAAATTTCGTGCAAATCGAAAGTTATATAGGGACTTTGAGGCACCATTTACATGAAATCGGACGAAACTATATATGGGAGCTATATCTAAATTTGGACCGATTTTCTCCAAACTTGGCAGACATCACTCTAGGCTTAATTCAGTACGTTATGCCAAATTTCGTGCAAATCGAAAGTTATATAGGGACTTTGAGGCACCATTTACATGAAATCGGACGAAACTATATATGGGAGCTATATCTAAATCTGGACCGATTTTCTCCAAACTTGGCAGACATCACTCTAGGCTTGATTCAGTACGTTATGCCAAATTTCGTGCAAATCAAAAGATATATACGGACTTTGGGGCACCATTTACATGAAATCGTACGAAACTATATATGGGAGCTAAATCTAAATCTGGACCGATTTTCTCCAAACTTGTTAGACATCATTCTAAGCTCAATTCAGTACGTTATGCCAAATTTCGCGCAAATCGAAAGATATATAGGGACTTTGGGGCACCTTTTACATGAAATCGGACGAAACTATATATGGGAGCTATATCTAAATCTGGACCGATTTTCTCCAAACTTGGCAGACATCACTCTAGGCTTAATTCAGTACGTTATACCAAATTTCGTGCAAATCAAAAGATATATAGGAACTTTGGGGCACCATATACATGAAATCGGACGAAACTATATATGGGAGCTATATCTAAATCTGGACCGATTTTCACGAAACTTGGCAGACATCATTCTAGACCTAAATGATTAAGCTGTACCAAATTTCGTGCAAATCGAAAGATATATAGGGGCCGTTTACATTAAATCGGTTAAATATATATATGGGAGCTATATCTAAATCTGAACCGATTTTTCCCAATTTCAATAGGGTTCGTCCTTGGGCCGAATAAGTGACCTATGCCAAATTTCATTCAATTCGGATCATAAATGCGACCTGTACTTTGTTTACAATTTAACATGGACAGACAGACAGACAGACGGACAGACGGACGGACGGACATGCATAAATCGACTTAGAAAGTGATTCTATGCATATTCTCAAAAGGAACCATGTGTCTATCTCGTTTCCTTTTGCCTGTTACAAACATATGCACAAAGACATAATACCCTGTACCACAGTGTGGTGAAGGGTATAAATATTAACCAAATAAAAGCTTCGTTAATTTCGGTACCACCGGAACGAATTTTGTATGGTGTGCGTTAAAAAATTCCTTAAGGGAACCCCACCCATTCTCGATTTTAATTTTTCAAGAATTTCAATGTGCTGGTAAATCAATACCAATGCTTGTTAAGATTTGTAACTTTGCACATATATATTTGAAGATTTAAAAGAGAAGGAAAATAATTTACAAAAAAAATTTTGTTATTGTTGTTGTTTTTTGTAATTAAAGAAAAGTCCTTATTTTTGATGGCGGGCATGATAACTCCTCACTGGAACATCGGAATCCGAAAATTCCAACGGTGTTAGAAAGAGTAACTGTCTGGCTCTCGCATGAACTAGGATTATTGACTTCGCTATAAAATTAACAAAATTGTGGACCTTTGAAAAAATATTTTTGGAAAATCGCCGATTTTTTACCAAAGACCAAGTTAAAAAATAAGGAAGATCTTCACCGATTGGCTTTATCCTAGTTCATACGAGAGCTATAGACTCCCAGAGAAACGTTGCAAAATTTGGAACCGATTGGATTATTAGTTTCTGAGTTATCGTGCCCGCCAGCCGTCACTTGATGCTGACACAATAAATCGGCGATATCTTCAAGAGTTCTTGAGATTTTCACTTGAAATTATGTAGAGACATTCTTTAATAAGTGTAGATTCGAATTATATCAACAAAAATTTCGACCCCGAGAATGGGGGGGTCCCCTTAAATCGGTCTTTAGCTTTATATGGGGACTATGCTATTACATTATGTGGAGAAGACTATTTTAAAGCATCAGACAGTGTTGAATAATTTCTAGAATAACGTTGCTTTATCTTCAATAATCGTAAATCCATAATTATAACCAATACGATGAGAATATTTAGTAACACCTTAATAAATGCGAAATGAGGCGGTCGATTTAAGAACGTGGACCTATATAGACCATTTCTCAAAAACTTCGTTTACACTCCAATGTCGCCGTATGCCAAATTACAGCCACTACAATGGGAAAATGAGGCCAAAACATTGAACTTACTGACAATGGGAAACTACCCTAATATATTGGAGAGTTATGTCTAAACATAGACCTATATTGATTATTATACCCTCCATCATAAGGTGGAGATCCCACAAAGTATATATATATTTTTTTTTTGATCAGAATAAAATTATATGTCTGTCTGCCTGTCTGTCTGATGAAATCTGGATAGAGATCGCAATATTTAAGATGAGTTCTGAAATTTACACAAGCACTGTTAGTATTCCTAGTCCACGTTTTAGTGTAGCCCCCATGTAATGGTACCCCCAATATTCGGTATTTTGGCGATTTTGGACACATTTTCCGACCAAATTGCTGTTATTTGGTATTTTAGGTTCTCATAAGGTTACCACCACATCGCTGCACTAAAAATTTTTAATATTGACGCAAGTCTGTATATTGAGAATTTTGAACACTTTTTTCAACCGAATTGGCTGTAATTTTTATCCCCCTCCTAATAGCCCCATAAAACTGTAGTCTTACTATATGATGTTTTGATAATTTCAATCATATTTTTCGGTTCTTTCAATGTCATAAAATACAATTAAAGACAATTTTGTTGAAAAATATAACCAAACCCATCAAAATACTGAATAATGAGGGTACCCTTACAGGCGGACTATATATTCTTTATGGGGTCTACGCTGAATAATTTTCCCTAAAATACCGAAATTGTTATAAACACCCCGTTACATGGGGTCAACCCTAAAAAGTGGATAAATACTACCAAAAATACTATATTACATTCTACAGACCTACTGAACGATCACCATTATGTGTCTTCCCCTGTGAGCCTTCATGATGTTCGCATCATCAGAGCTATATACATATGTTTAAATTTTCTCCAATATAGTCCGCCGTTGGGGCTTTTCAAATTTTGTTTCACAAAGTGTTTCTATGTTTATCCCACTCTTATTGTCTCATAAAATAGAGAATTTTCATAAAAAAAATAATTTTCTTCTCTCCAGCCTATTACACATGCATGCCATTTAACTAAATGAAATTGAATTGTTTTCATACTCACATGAGTTCATGTTGAAGTTTGGCGTCATAATGACTAAAGTTTTATACCACGACAAACAGAATCATAAGAAATAATTACATTTGTTAATAATTTAACGAATAAAGTTGGTTAGTCTCTCTCGTTTTCCTGCGCCGTAAAATATGTTCGTTCCTTTTCCTCCTGAGTGAATTTCAATTGGAAAAACTTTATGAAATAACTCAGAAACTATGTACACATACACATAAACTGTGTATGTCGTAACTGTTTTGCTTTTTTTAACAATTTTGTAAACAAAAATTATATTCAACAACGAAAAGCAATTATTACGCAGAATTTGAAATGACAATGTCAACAAATACTAATTATTCAATTAAGTGGGGCTAATACCGAAATACAGCTATTTCGGCGGAAGATTCGGTATGGGGGCCATAACGACTATTTTATCTACCATATATTTATACCCTTTACCACACTGTGGTACATGGTATTATGTCTTTGTGCATATGTTTGTAACAGGCAAAAGGAAACGAGATAGACACATGGTTCCCTTTCAGAATATGCATAGAATCACTTCTGAGTCGATTTATGCATGTCCGTCCGTCTGTCTGTCCATGTTAAATTGTAAACAAAATACAGGTCGCATTTATTATACGAATTGAATGGAATTTGGCACAGCTCATTTATTTGGCCCAAGGACAAACCCTACTGAAATTGGGAAAAATTGGTTCAAATTTAGATATAGCTCCAATATATATTTTCGTCCGATTTAATGTAAATGGTGCACCATAGCCCCTAAATATCTTTCGATATGGGTACTGAATTCCCATATATATATTCGTCTCATTTAATGTAAATGGTGCACCAAAGTCCCTATATATATTTCGATTTGCACGAAATTTGTCATAGTGTACTGAATTGATCATATAATGATGTGGATTTAGTTTCCTGAAATCGGCTCAGATTTAAATATAGCTCCTATATATGTATATATATATATATATTTGGCCGATTTAATGTAAATGGCGCACTAGCCAAAGTTTGTCCGATTGGCACATAATTTTGTACACATGTACTGAACTTAATCTCTGGCAAGTTTCGTTTAATTCGGTTAAGATTTAGGTATAGCTCCCACATATATATTTTCTTCCAATTTTAGGTCTCCTAATGTTTGTCCACTTGACAAGAAATTTTTGCGCAACCTATCAAATTGAGACTAGAAGGACGTTATTGCGTGTGTTTTAATTGGTGCAGATGCAGACATAGCTTCCATATATAATTCGAAGGTTGTCTGGCTGAGATTAAAATTTGAACAGTAAATCGATTTACATAAATTTGTCTCATTGTACGCATATGACTCTAAATCTGCCTGAATGAAATGAAATTTAGCATAGGTTGCAGGAAGGCATGTTTATGGATTGATCTTAGTCGGTTCCGATATATATACAGATTTAATATCAAAAATGCAACATCTGTTAGGATGCATCTTCTAAATATAATCAAAGTGGTGAAGGGTATCATATAATCGGCCCCGTCCGAATTTACAACTTTCCTTACTGGTTTTTATGTATTTACACACAGTAATCGAATGCCATTATTTTTTTATCTCTTTAGGTTGCCTGGATTCGTCACCGAGATTTACATATATTGACGGTTGGCACATATACCTACACCACCGATCAGAGATTTCAAACATCGTATCACCGTGACATTGATGAATGGACATTACAAATTAAATGGGCCCAACAACGTGATGCCGGTGTTTATGAATGTCAAATATCAACGCAGCCAGTGCGAAGTTTTTCCGTTCACCTAAATATAGTTGGTAAGTTTAATTAATATATGTATGTAATATATATGTATATGTATGTATAAATTTTAAATTTTCCTACAAACACACATACGTAAAAAATCGCAATATAAGATTGTTAATATTGTTAATGCCCGGGATTTAGAATTAATTTTTGTAGATGAAACTGCAATCTATACAGATTACAGGAATCAATTAAATGTAGTTTAATACAAGTGTTCATGTTGATTGATTATTAAGTCAAATAACAAAATATGAGAATCTTCCTGAAAATCGTAGCTGGTCATTTAATTGACGTTATGATATTGATTCATGGAAAAAAGACTTGCAATTTCATATATATATATATATATATACAGCAGCTTTTTTCTAAAAAAAACTAATGTTATGTTAGGAGCTTGAACATAGCGAAAAAAATGATTGAAATATTGATATTTTTGGTAGTGAATTTTGACAGCCAATAAGAATACAAAATACCAAATTACATCAAATTCGGTTGAAAAACGTATCCAAAACTCTCAAAATACCGATTTGGGTCAATATTAATAATTTTTAGTGCGGAGATCTGGTGCTATCGTTATGAGAACTCGAAATATCAAATTGCAGCCAATTCGGTTGAAAAACGTGTCCTAAATCAGCATATTGGGTGGTACAATATTATGGGGGCTACCCTTGTGAATCAATATTAAAAATTTTTAGTTCGGAAATGTGCTGTACAATGAGAACCCAATTATCAAAATTAAAGCCAAGTTGGAAAACGTGTCCAAAATCCCAAATTACTGACCATCGCTATATGGGTACTAATCTGAAACTTGTGCCAATATTAAATTTTGTTGGTATGGATATGTGCTATTCAACGAGAACCCGAAATACCACAGAGCTACATTCGGACAGCGTGTGGCCGTTTGAAGGCCATAATTCGTGCCAAAGGTGACCAATTCGAACAAATCTAAACTTCAAGATTTCCTTAGTGCTAGTGGACATATTTGGCATATTTCCAAAGTCTAAAAATATTCCCTGGTACTGGTTATGATCTTGTTTAGGTAATATTGTGTAATTTTTTCAAAAAAAAAGCGTTAAGTTCGGCCGGGCCGAACTTTGGATACCGTCCACCATATATATAAACGGATTATATAAACCATAATGTAAACCATAATACAAATTTCAGAAATTTTTAATTTCAGAAAAATTTAATTTTTAATTGAAACCTCCCCACAGGGGCTAGCTCTAAATGCGGCTATAGTTCATTATCGAACCTTACGTTCTAATTTTTTATCTCGTAATCCACCGCAGGTGAAATCATTACAATAGAGTCTTAGAATTAAACTCAAAACGCGGAACAAATCAGATAACTATTTTAATATAAACCAGTAAGGAAAGTAGTAAAGTCGGACGGGGCCGACTATATGTTACCCTTCACCACTATGGGGGTATATAGTCGGCTAACATATAGGACTATTATCATGAAATTGTATGAAATAAAATATGTGATATTTATCTACATGTGAAACGACCTAGATCTATCCATAAACATGTCATTCGTTTGAACAATGGAACAAAAGTATGTAAATCGACTTCAAACAAATATCAAAAGGTCATCCGTTGGGCTAGGTCTGTACTTCTAGAAAACCCAACTACGTTATTCTATACTCAATTTTGTACGTTGTGCAAAATTTGATATTAATCTCACAAATATGAGGAGTTTGATGCACAATTTACTTATATATGGATGCTATATCCAAATATGAACCGATTTCAACGAAATTTGCCACAGGATAGGCTATACGGATTTCAGTACGTTTTGTTCTTATCAGCCATGTATTGGTTCCTTGGTGCGTCAATTACTTAAAATCAATCTATAATAAGGGAGCTACATCTAAATCTCAACCGATTTTCACTAAACTTGGCACACATTATTCTGGATTAAATTCAAAACGCTATGCAACATAAGAACATGGTACATTATTTAGATTAAATCGGACGAAAATATATATATCATAATCTGAATCGATTTTCACGAAACTCAGCACACATCATTCCAGCATCAATTCAGTATGTTATGCCAAATTTCGTGCAAATCGAAAGATATATGGGACTTTGGTGCACAATTTACATGAAATCGGACGAAACTATATATAAGAGCTATATCTAAATCTGGATCGATTTTCACGAAACTTGGCAGACATCACTCTAGGCTCAACTCAGTACGTTATGCCAAATTTCAGCAAATCGAAAGATATATTGGGATATTGGGGCACCATTTACATGAAATCGGACGGAACTATATATGGGAGTTATATCTAAATCTGGACCGATTTTCACGAAATTTGGCAGACATCACTCTAGGCCCAAATTCAGTACGTTATACCAAATTTCGTCCAAATAAAAAGATATATAGGGACTTTGGTACACTATTTACCTTAAATCGGAAGAAAATGGGAGCTATATCTAAATCTGAACCGATTTTTTCCAATTTCAATAGGGTTCGTCCTTGGGCCGAATAAGTGACCTGTGCCAAATTTCATCCAATTCGGATCATAAATGCGACCTGTACTTTGCTCACAAAAATACATGGACAGACAGACAGACGGACGGACATATTTAAATCGACTTAAAAAGTGATTCTATGCATATTCTCAAAAGGAACCATGGGTCTATCTCGTTTCCTTTTGCCTGTTACAAACATATGCACAAAGACATAATACCCTGTACCACAGTGTGGTGAAGGGTATAAAAAGGGGGTTATATGGGGGCTACCCCAAAAAGGGGGCGAATATTAATCATTTTTGGTAGAGAAATTTGTTACTATATACAACTACAAAATACCAAATTGCAGCAAATTCGGCTGAAAAACGCGCTCAAGAACCCCAAAATACCAAAAATTGGGGGTACCCTTATGTGGGGGCTATCCGAAAAAATGGACCTATATTTATAATTTTTTGTGGAGAGATTTGGTACCTATTAAGAACTCAAAGTACTAAATTACAGCCAATTCGGTGGAAAAATATGATCAAAACCCCCAAAATACTGAAAATTAGGAGGTACCGTTATATGGGGGCTACCAGAAAAAATGGTTTTGTGGAAACCTTTAGTTCCCAATAAGAATCCAATGTACCAAATTTTAGCGTATTCGGTTGAAAAACGCGCTCAAGGACCCCAAAATACTGAAATTTGGCGGATACCCTTATATGGGAGCTATGCCTAAACGATATATCCCATCTTCGAACTTGACCTGCCTGCAGACAAAAGACAACCCTATGCAAAATTTTAGCACCCTATCTCAATTCCTTTAGAAGATAGCGTGATTACAACAGACATGGCTAGATCGTCTTAGAATTTTACCCTGATCAAGAATATATATACTTTATACGGAAATGAATATTTCGATGAGTTACAAACCAAAATTAATATATACAATGGTGGAGGGTATAAGAAAAACAACATTTTCATTCACATGTTACCCACCATGCATTGGGGTACTTTTTATGTTTGTCTAACGGAAATGTAATAAGAATAAATGTTTCAACATTATATTTCGGCCAGGATGAAAATTTGTTTATAAGTAGGTTACAACATGCCACATAGAAGTACACACCATGAAACCTCACCATGTTCGAAGCAAAAAATGTTAATTTAAGTTACTGAGGCGTATGAATAACTTTTTTTCTCCTACATTTTAACTATATGTAGTTGTGTATGAGAGTGTGTTTGTCAAAAGAGGGCTCATGCTGGCATGTTTCATTTTAAGGTTAATGACGTTTCCGCCATAAAAATTATGTAAATTTAATGAATGCACTTTTTTAGTGAGCTAGCTGGTGCACAAAAGTGGCTACCAACTCGGTGTCGGGTGGATGGATGGTGGTTGTTGGATGTCATCATCATCGTCATCATCACCATCTTCACTTTCCTCAGTCATCGGTTAAGGCGGCATTAACATTGTGGCGAACATCTCAAAAACGCGATAGTGACTGCCAGCGGCAACTGTAGCGTTAATTGAAACAGTGGCAGCAACATGAACATTTTTCAGCGATAATAAGAGCGGCAACAACAACATCCAGCTTTGGCTCAACATCAGTGGAATGCCGCACTTTTGTTTACTAAAGCACTTTGTTTGTAGCTTTTCTTATGCTGATAAATATTTTCTTAATATACTCTAGAAAATTACAAACTAATGCCGAGATGCACAAAGTTTGCCTTGTGGGAAGAGCAGATGTGTCCCACGGTAAAGGAAAATGATTTGCGCAACATAATTTCTGTTTCCTTATTAACTTGGCAAAATAGCAATTATATTGTATGCCAAAAATAAAATAGATTTAATAATAACAATAATAAATGCTAACGAACAAACCCGGACATACCACATTACGCAAAAGAATATTCAGAGAAAAGAAATTTTCGAGAATATTGTGGGAAAGTATAATAATGAATACCTTAGAACAATCGCATGACAATTCTCGGTACGAGTATTAGATATGTCTGGAAGAACTTTTGACAAAATCTGAATATTTGTATACCATAGGGTGGAAAGTAATTTATGAAAAATATATATGGACAATCTTGTCTGAAATTTAAAATACCATATTTAATGGTAACATACGTAACTATTTTAATTTCTAATATATAACACCATTTGTCAATTTGAGCATATGGAAGAGGTTAACTTCCGATTCTAATATCTATCAATCCAATATCTACCTGTATATAAACAGATGCACCATATGTGTTCTAGAGCAAAAACTGATGAACGGATTTTGTTAACATTAGAGAAATTTGTTGCGAGTATATCGCACATTTGCTGCAAGGGATACTTTAAATCATAGGGTGCGAAGAATGATTAAAATATGTCCTTTCTCACGAATGCTCACGGCGAGAATTCGAATGTTTTCAATTTATCGTGAATGATAAAGTTACAATGAATGCACAATCATTTGCATTCTCTCGCGAATGTTCGCATTAAACGAAAAATTCACGAACGATAAAATTTCTCTTCATGCGTCGTCGATTCGTTCGTTCGCGAGCATTTGTTGCTGAAGAACATTTTTTTAAAAAACTCAAAAAACAAATGTTCGCGAATGCTCGCGAGCACTGATAAAAACAACAACCAACAAAAATATCATAAAAATGTAAACACACACAACGAATGTGTGTGTGTAGCAGAAAGTGTGTGGAATAACAAAACACATGTCCAACAACAATTGAGTTCCCAACCGTTTGTTGTTATTGTTGTTGCTGTTTTGAGCATTCGCTAGAATTCGGGAATGTTTATTTTCATTCGTGAAAACAAACAAAACGAATTTCAACCACCAAACGAAACGAACGATCTTTGTTATGTGCTTGTTAATGTTTGTAACTTTGCATATATGGGAAATTACAAAATTCTTTTAAAATACCATAAAAAAATTTAAAATTTTTTTTGCGAGCACATTCATGATTTTTGGTACATAAGTTAAGAAAAATATGCTGATTCGAAATCTGTTCGCGTTCACAAATTCGGATGCTGCGCACAAAAGTTATAACGGTTTTAAATCTTGTATTTCAAATATAAATTAAATTAATTCCTATTTGTTGTAATTCGCGAATTTCTTCACAAATGGTTAAACACATTTGTTTAAACACATTTGTTTTAAAGTTTGAGAAGCCCTTCAGCCGTCACTTGATGCTGACACAATAAATCGGCTATATCTTCAAGAGTTCTTCAGATTTTTACTTGAAATTTTGTAGACATTCTTTAATTAGTGTAGATTCGAATTATACCAAGAAAAAATTTCACCCCGAGAATGGGGGAATCCCTTTAAATCAGTTTGAGTACATATAAGAGATGCCCATATGTACAGTAATATATCGATAGAAAAGAATGTAATCGGATATAATTAAATATGTGATCTACATAGATATTTGAACCACACACCGTTCTGAAATCTATGGAAAAATAGCATGTCGATCGGGCAGACTTGGGAGTACCATTTTCGAGAAAAATTATGTATGGAAGCTACATGAAAATCTGGACCGATTTGTGCAAAACGTGTCATACACCACTTGTTATGCTGCAGCACAGTGCTCTGACCAAAATTTCGTCTGGTGCACCAAATCGGACGAAAAGGTCTTTGGCAGTATTATATCCTTTATATTGTGAAGCGATTTCAACGACACCTAGAACACATATTACTAGACTAATTTTTATACGCTACGCACAATTTCGTGTAAATCGAGATAAATATGTGGGCTTTGGATCACCATAAAATCGGTTGAGAATATAAGTGGGAGTTATAGCTAAATCTGAACCGATTTTAACGAAACTTAACATTTCGTCCATTAAGACTTAATACTTACAGTATTCCAACTTAGTGACTTGGGTGAACTATTGTGGAATAGGACAAACGTACATATGAAAGCTATATCTAAATCTGAACCAATTTCAGCAGGTTTCGTCTTTGCGCCAAATTTCAACTCATTCGGATCATAAATTACAATTGAACATGGTTCTATGCATATCCTCAAAGGAACCTATAACGAGTGGTTTTAACTAAGGCTAAAGTAAGCCCAGTATCTGCCAGGGTCATCCTAAGGACCCACAGACCTTAAGTAAAAACACGAGTGGTTACAATTTCAATCTTTATTAAAATACTCGTGTGTTTACAATATGAATAATAGTTTGTTTATGAGATAAGCTTTTATGCGTTGGAACCTTTTAATAGTGTTATTGACTGCTAGATATAGAGACCTTTAATAGCCGGCTGGTTACATGATGTCGGCTCAATACTAATCCGCCGGTTGTTATTTGGCTTTGTTGTGGTCGCTTCGTAGGTATTTGTTTGATTGTAGTCGGCTTAAAGATACTCTGCTGGCTGATATGGGCTCCTTGATGAACGACTGGCTACAGTCGACTTGATGCTACTCGGATAGCTGATATCAGCTTGTTGATGATCGGATGGTTCGGGTTCATCAGAGTTCGGTTAGTAGTTAGGGGTTATTAGTATGGAGCAGGCCTTGAGAGGGGAGCTGGCTATGAGAGAGGCTGACACGTTGTTAACATTTACCAGTATGCGAGGATGCGGACGAGCCACACATATTCGTCACTCGTAGTTCGTTAACGTCCGAGATCGACCCTTTCCGCATGGAAAAGTGAAAAATATATCCGTATGGTACTACGAAGTGAATGAGAATTATTGTGTACTTCAGGAAATGTATTAGTCGATAATTACATTGAAGTTGAAGAACACAGGTAATGATGCCGGCTTAGGCTTACTTTGCGACGTTACTTACTACTAAATATTTAGGTGGGTTAACGTTTGGGTAGTGCATAATGTATGAAACGATCACGTTACAAACCATAATTCTATCTCGTTTCCTTTTGCCTGTTCATTTTTACAAAGGACAAAAAATGCTGTGGTGTACTGAAATTATTAGTCCACAATTTCTCGTCTCTTGATTCCCACTAACCTAACAACATCTCACCACATACACATGCGTCGTATCATACATACATCTTTTTTCGTAATATTATTTATTTCTCCTCGACCCTAAAAGTTCTTACACAATGCCTGTCATATAGCCAGCTTTTTTCTATGGCCTTACAAAATTTTTTACATTTATTTCACTTAACTTTTTTCAAATAAGCTTTAGAACATTAACAATTCAAATCTTGTTTTCGCCAAAAATTAGTCCATGTCCCTAAATGAATTACAAAGCAAATTACCCACCACCACAAGTGTTCCCCTTGCGTCGGCAAATTGTAGTGCGAACTGAATTAGATCCAATTAAAAGTAAACCAGCCATTTGTTCTGCGCTGCTCTCACAACTTGTACAAACATAAAAAATTAAAGCGTACACTTTGTTCGTATCCACCGGGGGCCTATTATTGTACATTACAATTCATAAATGAGCTGGGCTATTGTGTTGTTACTCGTATATGTTTGGGGGATGACATTTTGTGTTTTTTTTTACCTTCTCGTAGTGTTTATGCTTCAGAGGAGTTGGTAATTTATGCTGAATATGTAAATTGCTGTTGACTTTTTGCTATCATTATCTGAAGATCGCGTGGCATCCTTCATGGCCATGGCATCTAACCCTTGAGTGGTTACACACAAGGTTGAATGCATTGTGTGTGTGTGTGTGCGCTCACATATGCTGTGAGCGAATACAAACACATATGCATTTTGGAAATGTAATTAACAATGCATTTGTTTTGCTGCCGAATTTGTGTATTTGAAATTATATAAACACGAAATTTATTATTTTTCAAGTGCCCGTCAGAACATGATCTTAAGGTGGCCTCCATATTTTGGTATCCCCGAATATTCGGTATTATGGACATTTTGGTATTTTGGGATCTCATCTATTAAAAATTATAAATTTTGGTCTACTTTTTTAGATCCAAAAATATTGAATATTGACGATTTTGGCTATAGGAATGGTATTTAAGGTTCCAATGCGGTGTCAAATATTCTTATTTTGGTTTAGCTTCCATATAATGAATTCGCTAAATATTCGGGATGTTGAATGCTATATTTGTTTTTACTCACCAAGGGGGCTGTAATTTGACATTGTGGGTTCGTAGAGCGTGGAGTATACTGTTGACTCATATTTTGATTACATTTAAGCGTTTTTGATTTTATTTCATTCTTTTATTATTTCCTGTTATTTTTTTAACAAAAATTTAATTTGCTTATTTTATGTTTTTATTTTTTATTTTATTTAGACACTTTAGATTCGGAACAAAATGACATGATGCAACAATTCTACAACGACGATTCATTCTTTATTACAAACGATCGTGTCTATCAGTCGGGTGATGATGAATTTGCTGGAATGTTTGGACCACTACAAACTGTTGCCGGTTTGTTTTTAATTGTTTTTTAGTTAACTGCATTCACTAACTTAATAACTTCTATGAGATATAAATTTAAATATAAGCTAATAATTCACGTATTAATACACACACAACACTTCAAGTTTTGGACTTTATAATTGGAAATCAATAGGATTTATGTTTACATATCTTTGATTGAGCTCAGATGTTATTGCCCTTGTAATGTTTTGTATGGTTTATGAATGTACATGCACATATGTATACAGGTGTATGTACATATAAACTTACACAAAATTAATATGTTTGTAAAACATATTCTCGTAATTAATAGTTAACTAATTCTCGGAATTAATCATTAATTTTAGAATATAAGAAAAGTATTTTAGATATTATCGGTTATTTAATTCATAAGATTTACAAGATTCTACAAATTTTGATTCAAATCGGATAGTCCGTTCGCATGATATTATAAAATTATTTCTTTGCACAATTTTGACCATTTTGTGGGGGATGTGACCGATATTCCCCATCTTCGAACATAAAATAAATTTGGTAGAAATATTGTGCACCAGCCGACCAAACAGACAGACGGACATTTGGAAACCGACTTCAAATTGTCACCGTATTAAAGTGTATATACCCTCATTAGCCATAAGGTTCAGTGCATAAATATCACAATAATGCCTTTTCATGCCCATAGATTGTGTATCCTTTGAAGGGAAAACTTAAATATTCGTGAATAATAAAAATAATATATGGGCAATATTGCCAATTTTTTAATATTCCATTTTCAAAAAATCAGCTTTTTTGTTTTTGTGGCACATCAATGATTTTTGGTACACATATAGGGAAAAATGTTCTGACTCCGAAACCGTTCGCGATCAAATTTTTGGTTGATGCGCGCAAAAGTTATCGAGGTTTTAATTTTGGGCATAAGAAAAAAATCTTAAAATTACGCCGTTTATTATATAGACCAAAAACTTTGATATATATCTTCCTCCGTAAAATAAGAATATGAATATATTATAAAAATCGCAAAAAAGTTGCACATCTTCGCGAAATATGAGAAAAATAATGAAAATATAGGAGATTACGTAAATATTTTCATTATATTAATGACATACACACACTTAAAAATTAATTTAAAAATATCTACATAATCTAAACACCATGGTGAATCAAATGATATCAAAATCACACAAGTCCGTGTAGCTGTTTGTAAATCACAGCGACAACAAAACAAGATATTGAGGAAAAATATTTGTTTTTGGTTCGAAAAAATAATGTCATCACATTTATTTTTTTAATTGTATACAAGAAATTTCAGAAAAAAATGTTGGGGTTATTCTGATATTTTTCCCGAATTTCGCTGAAAAATTGACATATAAAAATAATCACTTTTTGTGTATAAGTATACGCCTTGCGGATTATATCAAGACCCTTCCGATAAATCTTAGGGTTCTATAAATAGGAATAAATCTTAAAATAAAATAATATTATGAAATATACATTTTAAATTGCGTCTAAGTCGCGTAATTCTCAAAATCATTTGATGCGCATGCGGTTTCCAGGAAGTACTGAAGTTTATCTTCCAATCCATATATATTTTGCGAAATTTCATTTGACGGCTAAGATGTGCCGCACGTTACATTGAAGTACCCAAAAAACCGTAAAACGCGAATAATTTCCGAAAACTCCATATGTCATTAACGCGCATCCGATTTCAGTGTGCACCCTATAAAAATACATCGATCTATACCGATTTCAATGTGGTCCATTAAGAACCATGGATGTGCCATCACAATCTATTTTTGAGATAAATTGCGTACATCTCTCTTTCGGCTGAAGTTTTTAAAGTTCTCTTTTCGAAAAAGATCAAAATCCGTATGAGGTCATTTATTGAAGCGGAAATGATACACAGAAAACGCAAATAAATCCGCGATATTTTCAAAAACATTTTTTGCCAAATTTCGTGTTTTTGGAAGGCCAGTTCCCGCCGTTCTAGTAGATGGATTTTCACGAAGAAGATTTTATATCATCCGAAACGGAAAAAAACTTATTGATCGCGGGTACCCATATCATTCAGTTGACAGATCTAAAAATTTGGCCCGAAAAATAGGTTTTTTAGAAATTTGATCGCACAAAATTCGCACCTTCGGATGAGTATTACTCTGAAGCTGTGCATGCTACATACACAAAATACATATCAAATTACGCAGATTCGCGACTACAATAATCGTATAATCGATTTTTAGAAATTCCTGTTCGCGTATTAATGCTAGAACTAAAATTCAAAAAACACTCAAAATCTAGCTTCAAAATGTCAGCATCATTTAAAGGTAGATGCAGTTAAAATTTTGAAAAATGATACATAAGGGGCGTAGTCCCCATTTTGTTGGCTTCTAGTTTTATTTTGACACGAAGGCCGTGCAATGAGTGGCTTAGTCACAAATCCATAGAGAATATAAAAAAACTGGTTCGCCTCAACCTGTTTTTACACATTTTTTTACATTAAAGTAGACACAGCTTCCACTAAAATAAAGTTTGGAGGTCAATATCATGAGCAGTTTGCAACGACAGATCAATTAACCCAAAACTATTCACTTTTTTTCATATACTTAAGTAGTTCCCGAGTTATAAAGGTGTGAACCTCCGCTTCAGCTATGTTAAAAAATTGGCAATATTGCCCATATACACTTTATAATGTGTATAGAAAACAATATGGTTCTCACTCGGTAGAAAATGATCTAAAAATTATCATTAATGGTCCACTTTTTATGACAGACATGGGTGCTGTAACAGTTCATCCCAAATTTCAGTATTTTGGGGGTATTTGCCACGTCAACTTAGTTGTCTGTAATCTTATATTTTGGATTTTCATTGAATTAAAAATCTCCCTAACCAGAATATACAAAGTTTACCCTCCGATTATTCGTATTTTTTATATACCCTACACAACTATGTTGTCAGGGTATTATAGCATTGTGCAGCCCCAAAAGTATATAACGCCACCTTTAAGTATACCCATCGTCATATCTCGACTAGCTGAGTCGCTCAAGACATGTGTGTCCGCCCGTCCGTCTGTCCATTATAATTTGTAAACACGATACAGGCCACAGTTATGGACCAATTTTCACGAAATTTTGCATGTAGGATGGTTTCTGGCCAATGAAGACCCCTATTGTTTTTGGAAAAGATCGGTTAATATTTAGGATATGAAATGGAATGGAATGGAATGGATCGTCAATTAAGAAATACGTCATTTTTATTATTTCATGTAAATTGTGTTCCTGGGTTGTTTCTGATAATTCTAAGTGTGATGTTTGCCATATATTTAAGTGAGAAGATTTCAGTGGACGGTGAAACATTTCTTCCAAATTCTGAACCTTTTTTCCAAAAATTCTTTGTCGTTCTGTGCAATCTATTGATTCGACTTTAAAAACTTCTTGTCCAACACTATAAAAATTTTTAGGAGCATCAATTGACAAATATAAATATTTATTTTGAACAAAGGTATTAGTACTTTTTTCTAAACTTTCATACCCCTCTGAATTTAAGTAATTTAGGCTTTGTTCAACGAATCTATTGTATAGCTGGGCGGAAATGTTATTCTTTTTTTTTACAAGACGCTTTAATTTTCCTAACTTGTTTTCAAATTTAAAAGCATTATGTTTTCTAATGAACCATATAGTAAAGCATCACTTGCTAGGTGAGTTAGGCAGTGGAAGTTGTAAGTCAAGGTGGTTTCATTATAATTATCTGGAACGTTTCTCACAAATTGTTTTAGCATATCTTCAGCACACTCGTTATGTGTTTTGCATTTGTTTTGATCTAATAGAATTCGTAAAGCCAAACTTAATAGCAAAAAATGCGAATAAAGACTTTCATTTAAAATATTTTTTAATACAAAAGGACCAGTGTAAAGAAGAAACTGCCGAAATTCTGTGGCCTTGTATCGCTCAAATTCCTTCAAGCCTCGTGGCCTTCTACAAAATTCCCGAGGTGTATGGGGTATAAGTTGTTGGAGTTTATAATCTAACAATTTCATTTGTTCTGGTCGCAGCGAAAAAGAGCAATTTCTTTTTTTAATCCACGCCGTCATTAAGGACTTAACAACTCCAAGGCATACAACGTGCATGTAGTCAAATGGAAATGATTGCACTATGTCTATTGGTAACTTTTCTATCACTATTTGGGAGTTTGTTGTGTGATGATTTTTATATTGACGAGCTCTAAAACTTTCATCAGTTCGTAAACCACAATTTTCAAGTTTGAAAATCATTCGATTTTGAACATATTCTCCTCTTTGCGTACACTTATGACAGCAATTGTAGCCTGTATGGCTTTTGATACCCATAACAAGTGACCTTGCCGGGGCATCACATATAAATGATCGGCAGCTTACATTAAAAGTTTTATTGTTGTAAGAAAAATTAGTGGCAATAATTTCGTTGAGTTCCTCAATGAATGGTGCTAAAAATGTATTTATGTCTTTGGGTTTACTGTTGCCTGTGTAAACTCCTACAGTATGTACCTGTTTTGTGCCATTCACATTTACTAATATTGGCCAAGCTTGAGCCAGCGAACTTTTTGCTAACGGTAGCCCGTCAACATTTATATTTAATGCAATATTGTCACTTTCATATGAAGAATTAGTCAGGAAATCGGTCAAGCAGTCTTTTAGGCCATAGTGCACATATTCTCCACCTTCAAGCTGAATAATTGGCGCATCTCTAGGAGTTTTTTTAATGTTCTAGAGTCGTTTGGTAGATTTGGTTCTATTTTTTTTATAATTACCAACAGATCATTCAATGCTTTGTTAGAAATTAAATATTTTACACTCCACTGAGCCAGTTCATTGCGTATATTGAAGTTTTCAAAAATATTAGTAATTGACGATTCATCACTCTCGGTACAGCTTAAATATTCGCAATTATTTTCTTTAATTTGATCGCAATTGGAAACACCAGCACTGGAATCTTCACATTCACTTATTTTTTGTTTTTTATTGTTTAAAAGAAGTTCTA